CCTCCAGTATTCTCTCTTGCTCTCCTCACTTTGCTCTCTTAAATTCTTACTGCGACTCCCATACACTTGTACAATATCTTTTTATAAATTTGATACATACTACACACACGCATGTAATATGATATTTTTGTAAGTTTGCTAACTTTATTATGCACTGTGATGTACACACGGGTTGTAAGCATAACTCACAATTTAATACCATTCCAATAGAGGCTTTCGAGTATTTCTGATAGGGGATATATGGCTCCTATCCTGTCAAAGTTTGACCACCTCTACATTATAACTTCTGAAGGTTCTGTAATTCGAATAGAGTACCAACCTCCTAGAAACGGATACCTTCTGCAAACGAGAATGTAATCCCCTTACCTACGATGTATATTTTCTTCCATTTGATCAAACTCTGCGCGGTTACTAAACTAAATTTCTGTAATTTAGCAACGAAAAAGTTAGGAGATCCTTAGAGATCTGAACAAACTACTAATTGTTACCATTGTTGCCACATGGTAACATATTATAAGTTACGAAATAAAATATTAGTACCATATATTTTTTCATATATGTCAGTATATAATAGATTTTTCTAGTCTTGTATAGATGGTATGGCAGAAATTTGATTGTTCGATTATCTGAAAATTCCTTTATCCGAACACTTGCATCTCTCTATCAGTTCGGATACAGGAGGCTCTACCGTACCAACGCACTTACCCAACCCATTGGCTTTCCGTAGACGATCGGTATGAAAAAGAATTTCGGAGGATCGGGTCGGCGTTTTGGCTCGAGATTAGACGAGTCATAGGAATCCGCTTATCTTCCCGGTCGGAGACGTATCAGCTGCTCCGAATACGTCAAACAGGCTAAAACGTTTAACCGTCAACGGCTACCTGGGTTTTTCGGGGGCGACGAGCTGGGATCTTCCGGGGAACGGTCCCTTGAGCTCGGTCGTTGGGATCAGCGTTCAGGAAATTAGCTAAAACTGGAGCTAAGTGCTATCCCTCGTGCTCTCTAACTGGGCCACGGGCACGGAATGAACGCGCGTCGATCCAAACTTTCGGTCCTCTCGGGGTCCCCCTCCGATATCCTACGGCAGATATTTATCGCGGTAAGTGGGATCCGGTTAAATGCAACTTACTGATCTGATTTCTACGGGGGCCTTAAAAGCCTTTTCTCCTGTTCTCGAACCGTGGCTACCGGGCACCACGAGTTAGATTCGTGACGGAGATTGTACACGATGGAGAACGGCGCCGATCGGCGCGCACGTTTACTTGTTAACGCGTGTAAAACGACGAGGAGCACGTGGGAACACTCTCTCGTGTACAACAAAAGCTTTCGAGTGGATCGACGATCGATCCGGTTTTATGTATGAATCCATTGTCGGTTGCTTGTATATGTATACACGTCGTTACATCGCGTTCTAGATCGGATCGTCGCAGATGGTTCTCCCGGGACGATGGGATGACACTCTTTTTACAGTATTTAATTACTTAAGATACTTAAGTACAATCTTAAGACTTGTTTTTTATACTGTGTGCAGGCTGGTAATTAAATGTAAGTGTGCAACAAGTAAGAAGAGTTGCACCAGTCTCTTTTTTGAAATAGTTTTACACAATCTTAGGTTGTACCTTACAATTAGATTGTTTTTATTGCTGTAGGTTCTTTCTTTTATTCGATATATTTACTGTGAGAGACTTGTGTGTGCATATGATTTTGCGTATGAAATTTTGATATCAAGGAAGATGTGTTCGGATATGTTTTATTTTAGAGGACCGAAAAATAATAAATACGTGTTTTTTTATTTTGCCCCGTTTTCACATTTACGGGGGTGAAACCACTTGAGGTGCATAAGAAGAGGTACAATAGTTCATATTATTAGTTTAAAGAATATTATAACATTGTGTTGAATAAAACTTGATATAAATTTAATTTGCGTCATAGCTTGCTGTACGCATGATATTCTTGTCGACATCACTCTTATCAGGATAACAGTCTTTTGTATAGAGAATAAATAAATATTTTTTAAATTAAAATTCTCTCCTAATATTCTTTAAACTAACGATAGGAACTTTTGTACCGCTTCTTATGTACTTTGACGGGTGGTTCCACTCCCTAAATATGAAGACCTAGGCAATTGGAAAACCGTTCCTGGTAACTATTTTGACCCCCTACAAAGCAACGTTCAATTCGTCTATCCGCAATTAACATGTAAATAAACTTCAAAACTTCTGACACTAACTACACTGTACAACAATATAATCGTAGTTGTAATCTTTCTCAGGTATTAAAAACAATCAACCTACCGTATCCTTATATAAATAAAAAAACCATTCGGTCTTGAATCGATCAACCTGGAATATTCGTCAATTCCAAAGTTCAGCTCATCGCCATATTTGCCAACGAAAGATCACCCGAAAGTCCCAGTATCCGAAACGTAAACGGTTTTATAGCACACGTTTGACTTTCTTTTCATGCCCCGATGATGACACGCCTATACTGTTTGCTGTGTCGTTTTCGTGTCCCTCTGTATACTGTTCGTGAAAAGCCGTTAACGCCGCCGCGAAGATTAATATTTTATTCGGTAACTTAAATTACAGTGGCGAACGATATTTGCCACGGGCCATTCAGACGAGTCCAATCAGCGCGACCGTTTAGGAGGAGGTCCGGTCTGGGCTTCACGCACTATTCCGCGGGAGCAATTATAATTCGGGACGCGTCCCTGGTCGACGCGGGAGGCTTTTTCTATAACGCAGAGAACGACGAGTTCGTCCGCCAACCGTATAATTTGCCTCGATTTAGTTGGATCGATTTTGAGGCAGCTACTGTTTCGCTACAGGCGGATATCTTTTGTGTCGCGGTTTTGTGGGCGTACACTTCCCCCCGGGGCTAAAACGCCAAATGGTAACGGCGATACGCGGAATCGAATGCGGAATGGGAAACGGGGATTTGTTTTGTGCGCGTTGGTTTTCGGGTGCGCGAACGACGGAACAAAAGAAAAAAAAACAAAATAGAAAGAAACAATTTCCAAGGCCGGACGCGGCAACCCTCCGGGACAAGTGAAAACCCTCCGTTTTCTTGTTTCTTTGTCGTGAAGCTAATTCCGCGAAAAAAAAAGAAACGTTCGTGAAAGGAAGCCGAGATGAAAATCTGTCGCGGGATTCGATATCTCGATCGTGATTTTTTCGAAGACAGAATTTATGAGACTTCCAGGAAAATTTGTAAAAAAACAATAAATCATATACGTCTAACAAAAGCACAACAGAATCATATACGCGTAACAACATTCCAGAAAACAGCGGATCAGATTCCAGGAAAATTCGTCAAAGAACGTCAGATCATATAGTCAAAAGGCACCCACGAGAGGATCGAAACGAGGCAATTACCGCAAGCAAAGCGTCATCATCCCCTCAACGCGCGACCACAGGGGCAGTCGAGTTAAACGACACAACTGTGAACTGTCTTCGAAAGATTGTCTCGGTGGAGAGGAAGAACACTGGTAGTCGCACGCATAATATACATATACATTGGTTAGGTAACGCGCGCGCAAAAGTCGTCAGAGCGACGTGTGCCCGCGAGAGACGGTGGATCCAGAAGCGTAGGAGGCTTCGCGTATGCGGTAAGCTTTACCTCATTTCTGGCAATTACAGGGGATGCCAGAATCCGCCGCAAGAATCAAGCCGCGCCGGTTGCGCGCTCGCGCTCCCTTGTATATGTGTACGCGGTGTCTGTTTAGTCGGGCCACCCCTCCGAGAACGTGTGCGCGCACCCATGCCACCCCTGTGCATTCGCGTCCCTCGAGCCAACTCACACCATCGAGTTGATCCTCGTATCGACGTAAGTAGCGTTGGTGTGTACGTGTACGGTGTCACAGAAGCCCGACGAAAGTCCACCTCCTCTGCCCCTGCGAATTAACCCCACCTCGAGACCGCAAGGGAGGGTTAACCGTCGCTCCCCCACCGTTTTCCGCGATTGAGCACCACTGTCTCGCCATGTTCTCTGCTCCCGCGGCTGATTGGCCCCGTGCACGATCGTACAGCGACGGGGATTCGTCGAGCGTGGCCACGCCCACCGCGGCAACCTCCTGCGACCACCTCTTTTTCCCGAGCGGAGTGTATTCGCCAAGGAGTAGTTGTGTGTGCAGCTTACCAACAAAGAGACCACCCCGCCGTACGGGGCCAGCAGCCGGAGTAGTCCTCGTTGGCACGACGCACGCACAACAGCTTCGACCCTAGCCGAGCCAGACTGTATTGTATTTGCTTTTTGATCTCACCCGTGCCGCAACAACGTCAGCGATCGACACGGGGGATGGAGGTTTGATCGCTGTGCCGTTACCCGATGATCCCCGCGCGACCAGGTAGCTCGGATCGACAGGAAGGGATTCCGAGGGATCGATGGTAGATCGAACAGGGATCGTTGATGGAGTATAGTGTTTAGAGGAGCAGGACACCCCAGGCTGACGCCCAAGGTAGAGATATTTCCATGAGTTTTTCGAGTGCAAGTTTGAAGACCGATCTGGAGTTGTCTGTATGATCTTACGGTTTGTGTGGGAGAAACAGGAGGTTCGAGGACTTTGATTATTAAGTGCGTTCGAGAGGTGTTGTGTGTTGAGGATCGAGCATGAGACTCGTCTCGAACCGATGCTATCGATGTCTGAATCGCGCGAACAACCGAGTGTAGATTGTCGTTGAATGAACAATTGGATAAACTGTTTGTTGGAGGAACGTTGTGGATGATTATTGGAGTGGTGCCAAAACTACGGAGGTTCGTAGAGATTTGATTTCGTTAAAGGACACTTTGGAGCTGAAGTATTGAGTCTTGTCGCGTGGTAACGGTGGCGTCTCTCAAAATGTATTTTGAAATTGGGAACGCGTGTTCTGGACAGTCGTTTCGTCCGTCGACCGTGTACTAGTACGTTTTTTCGTCGGAGGATCGCTCGGAAGATCCTGTCGTTACGGGGTTCAGTGGACCAAGTAGTATCAGATCGGAGGTCAGACATCGGACTTTCGACGATGGATTCGCAACAGCTCGTCGATACAGCCTCACAAAACAGCCAGGACATCGTTCTGCCGAAGCCAGCGAGCAGCACACCCAGACACAGCATCGACGCGATCCTTGGACTGGCTAATAACAAACGAAGTCACCAAGAAATGGAGGATAACGCTCGGGACACGCAGGAAAATACTGGTAATGTTTCTTTTCATAGGTCAATTATACTAGTTTAATATTCTCCAATATTTTCAATTGGAGAGGATGCTCAAATAAGGACTGAACAACATTTATCAGAATGAATAATTGAAAATTCTATATTCCAATTCTGATAATTTTCCTTCGAAAGCATTTAACACACGAGGTACCAATAATTGGCTAATAATACGCACAAACTAATTAAATTACCTATACTTACTTGAATACTACCCTCTAATTTACATTGAACTAATCTTACTTTTGCCAATTATTTAATTAGCTTTGATCCTGATTAGACTACGGATTTTATGCAATCATCGCATACACGATTGTCTACAATTGGGAGTAATTAAATTTTTAATAAAATTCAGCGAGGTTTTCATTTTCTGTCCTTATAGAATCTTATAGAAATCTTATTAAGGCAAACATATTTCTACTAGACTCCGATTTTTATAAATTAATCCATAAAATTCTCTGTTTACATAAACATCCGCAATCTAATCGAAATATAAAGAAACAGATTAAGTATTGCTTATGTACCGATTAATTTCTAAATTGTATTAAACGTTTATTAGGTACGAACGTAGGTATAAACTGATTGTTAATGAACAGTTTAAGAATAGAAACTTTTGCAACACTTTGGATTCAAGGTCGTTGTACCAACACATCGATTGATGTGGTCGATTCGAAGCGTTTGTATCCATGAGAATTATTCAAAAACAATTTCTTTCTTCGACACAGTGGAAGAGAAATCGAGCGCGGCAAGTTCTGTCCGACGGGCACGCATGAGCCGGGCGAACCTCAAGCGTCTCGGTTGCTACCCCCGCGCTGGATCCAGGACACTGGATCCCAAATCCCAAAATGGCTCGAGTTACCCCCGGAGACTTATTAACAAAGCAGCTTCGATCAATCATTTCATCCAATTACTAGTTTCGCTATTATCCCCCACCCCCTTTCCCATTCCAATCGAGACTTTGATTCGATATACCGAACGTTGATCGAACCCCTCTATCGATACGCTATCGGGAACAATTTTACCCGCGTAAATTCGGTGAGAAATATTAAATCTTTCCATTAATTTCGTAATCTCGGGCACATTCAATTTTTCCACGTGAAATCTGTCCGCTTGCGTTAAATTTTTTTTAAATTGATATTTAAATTCACCAGAGCTCTTAGGGATCACGTCGGTTATTTCGATTAATAAATTGCTGTTCGGTGTGCGTGACACTATTGTTCCGATCACGGCAATTAATAACACGCTGGTTAAGCTAATTGAGATTATGCAGGAGATAAATACCGTCGTGAAAACCTTAATGTATCCTTGCGGCGTTGATTCCTAGCGCGACGCTAATTAGGGGAACGCATTAGTGGGTTCGGCATCGCTCGTTGGAAATCGGCGTTAGAAATCCGCTGAACAATCGCGTCGCGATTAAACCGAGGTTTCCCGTGGGGGATTTTCACCCGATAGATTAATCCACGCTCGTTCGTATAATTTTTCATCTGATTTGAATATCCTCCGCGTTCCGCCGTCCCTCGTGGGGAGATTAATCGTTGCGAATCCACTCACGTAATAAATAATTCTTCGCGATTTTTTAATTACCTGAACAAAGAGGACACGATGGTTTAGTGATTAAACTATTGTCTAGTTTAATCGATAAGTGATTAATTACAAGCAAATAGAAGTTATTGTTAAGTGAACAATATTAATAAGTAGTGGTAATAATACTTCATTCACATTTCTTTTATAAAATGAGTGGATACAATAGAATAATTGCTTAAAATTGTCAGCGTGCACTATGTAAGATAAATTGAATTTTAAGATACATTGAAATTTAAGGAAGATTCTCTCTCTACGTCCCATTTTCGTCTCGAAATCGTTATACAATCAATCACTCCTAGTGTTGTATAACGTAGTCAAAGCTGAACATTCGCATTACAAGATTTAATAAAACGCTCCAATAAAAACAACCAGGCAAGCACTTATCAAACGAAGCAGCTAGCCTCAACCAAGCACTTTATCTGTTTCGTCATGATCCTATTACAAAAGATTTATAAGTCTGCTTGACAAGCAACTCGGATTCTAACATATGTATACAACAACTAATGCTACACCATAGAATAACAGAGTTCCAGCTTTCAAAGTTAAATAAAAATGGAAAATACTATTTTATACTAAAGGAATAATATTTATTTACCTACTCACAAAGATTTAGAAGGGTTGATTAAAAGACCACCGTACTATATACAATTCGTATAATTTTTATTTACAGTCTGACAGGATGCTATCAAATTTTTCAACACCTCACAATTTTAACCTCGAACACGTTACGTCACCATTAACAGACAACAATTAAGACATTCCTATACTTTCCCCCTACCACACCATCTAAAATTCTCATTAGCTACTTAACCTCTGGCCAATCACCGTGTCCATCGCCCACATTTCCAACAACTCTGGGTTCTCAACGCCCTTCATTATCTCGCCACCCCGTTCGCAACTGGACTGTCGAAACAGGCGACGGTTCCTGTGTAATTGAAAAATCGTTAGTATCGCGACGATATCTGGTTCCCCCCCCCCCCCCCCGGTGGCAAGCTACCCCGTGCACGGGGGGTGGGGCCGCTAATTAGTCGTCCGGAGGCGAAGTGAAACGTAAACCAAGAACCCCGTCGATACTGCATATCCGATAATTCCAATTTCGCGAAAACAGACCCGTTCACCAGGTCGTCGTCATCGTCGTCATCTTTGTCCCACGGGGAACAAACAGTTTGGCCACCGACTGTCGTTTATAATGTCACTGTTGGCCGTACCGTTTGCGCGCCGCTATCGACGCAACACTTTCTGCCGCGGAAGGGTAAAAATCGACAAAACAATTTCGTACGGGCGCTGGCTGGCCTCGTTCGTTTAACGTCCCCTTTCCTGTCTCCCTTCCCCCACAATCCGTCGAAACGGAAAAACATTAACAGGGAGGGTTTCGTATCGAGTGGATCGACGAGTATAGAAGAGGGGGGAGGGGGTGGTGGTTCACCACCTGGACGCGAGAATCGTTCCTCGAACATTCGCGCGACGATTGGAATTAGCGTGGATTCGACGCCTCGTCCGGTTAAGGCCCTCGTCCCGATCCTCTCTCTGTTTGCGATATTAAGCTTCGTGTAATCTCGTTCCCCGCCGCCGGTGTCGGTGATCGATAACTAAACGTTTTTGCATAATGCACTTAACCGTTTGTCCAAGTCCACCGTCCTCTTCCCTCCGCTTAGGAAGGAGATTGATTTTGTCGGCCACGAGATCGGACAGGGGGGGGGGGACGAGTCTGCAGCGGTGGACAAGAGTAGTCAACCTGGGTGACTTTCTGATTTATTTGGCCGCGGTCTGTTCGCGTTTCGGGCTTCCTTTCGAGTTCTTCTTTCTCCTCCCAGGATGATTAACGTGTCGCGATCCGAGGCATCGATAGAGTCCGTCGTTCGGTATCGGGACAATTCCGCAACAACTAAGTAGGGGATCGGTGATTTTGTTAGGCTCGACGAAAGCGCAAGAAACGCTTCGACGAAGTAGAAATCAGACGCGCCGGAAGCGAGGCGGAGATGAATTAACGAAGTTCGATTAACGTTCTGGCGCGAAAGATGTTAAAGAAGAAAAGCAATTTCCACCGGGATGCATTGGATCGACGGTGGCCGGACGTTCATCCCCCTTCTTTTGGAGAGTTTATTAATACTTAACAAACAGATGAGACAGAGTTTATTAAGGCGGTATATGGCTAATGAAAACATTTCTTCGTGACATTTATTCGATAGAACAGTTATTTATACAGGATCCGTTTTTTGACTGTTCCAAAAATAATCGGTGTATAATGAATAATGGAGAAATATATCCTGGCGTGTGTTTTGCTCGATGAAAATTACCGTTAATATGGAATATTGAACTTGTTTAGGAATACAACTTTGGATCACAGAGGCAGAGTATATTAAGTCCTGTTTTTAGACAATAATTGGCATTTTATACATGTTTCCTGCATCGAATTTTTC